ATGATGGTAGTGTTTGATTAATATCGTTACAGAATAACAGACCATCAGGTTATGATGGTAGTGTTTGATTAATATCGTTACAGAATAACAGACATCAGGTTTTTATATGGCCTACCCCTGGAGATTATAAGAACGTATTTGGGAGTTAACTCAAACATTCACAGAATCTGCGATAAATGACTCAGCTTACTTTTATTCGTAGGGTTTCAGAAGTTGTAAACAATTAAACTGTGCTGTTAGGTCTTGAAAGAGGCTGTCGTGAGATATGCTGGTGACGTCGAGAGGTATGTAGATGGTGTAGTGAGGTATTAGGTGGTGTAGTAAGGTATACAGAAGAGATGTTGTGAGGTATGCAGGTGGTGTAGTAAGATATACATGAGAGATGTTGTGAGGTATGCAGGTGATGAAGTAAGATATACAGGTGGTGTAGTGAGGTATACAGGAGAGATGTTGTGAGGTATACAGGTGGTGCAGTGAGGTATACAGGAGAGATGTTGTGATGTATGTAGGTGTTGTTGTAAGGTATACAGGAGAGATGTTGTGAGGTATGTAGATGGTGTAGTAAGGTATACAGGAGAGATGTTGTGATGTATGTAGGTGTTGTTGTAAGGTATACAAGAGAGATGTTGTGAGGTATGTAGGTGTTGTTGTAAGGTATACAGGAGAGATGTTGTGAGGTATGTAGATGGTGTAGTAAGGTATACAGGAGAGATGTTGTGATGTATGTAGGTGTTGTTGTAAGGTATACAAGAGAGATGTTGTGAGGTATGTAGTTGTTGTAGTAAGGTATACATGAGAGATGTTGTAAGCTATGCTGGTGATGTAGTAAGATATACAGGTGGTGTAGTGAGGTATACAGGAGAGATATTGTGAAGTATACAGGTGATGCAGTGAGGTATACAGGAGAGATGTTGTAAGGTATCCAGGTGGTGTAGTAAGGTATACAGGAGAGATGTTGTGAGGTATCCAGGTTGTTTAGTAAGGTATACAGAAGAGATGTTGTGAGATATCAAAGTGATGTAGTGAGGTACACGGGGAAAGATCTTGTGAGGTATACAGGTTGTATCGTGGGATATCCAGGTGGTGTTGGGAGGGGAGTATGCAGTTGGTATACATAAGAGATATACATCTTACATGGTGTTATTGGGTATGTAGGTAGTCGGTTGTTAATTATTTACAATCTTCATGCTAAAACAGATATGCTGAGAAGAATAACAAAGTCTTCTTTCATATAGATATTGTATATTAACAAGTATGATAATTTACCATTCTTGTGTTAAGCCTCGTGTTTATAGTATGTATTTGATCCTCTGCAACTCAATATCAGTAACATAATACGATATCTTATTGGATATTTCACTAAGTAAATACATACATTAAAACAACCCTCAGCTATTCTCTAACCTACTGTAATTAAATGAAAAATATCTATAACGAAGCTTTGTTTGTTTTAGAGTAAATCCACGTTGAGCTACAGGCTCTATCCACCGCGGGGAATCGAACCCTATATTTTGTGTAACAATGGTACTCCTAACCCACAATGTCAAATGGCACGTCTTGTTACATGTACATTTAAGTGGTATAAAAGTGTTAGTAGTTAGCAGCTCAGACAACATCACAGTATGTTATCAGTTCAGACAACATCACCAGTATGTTAGCAGTTCAGACAACATCACAGTATGTTAGCAGTTCAGACAACATCACAGTATGTTAGCAGTTCAAAGAACACCGGAGTATGTTATCAGTTCAAACAATGCCAGAGTGTGTTATCAGTTCAAACAATGCCAGAGTGTGTTATCAGTTCAGACAACAACAGTGTGTTATCAGTTCAAATAATGCCACTGCGTGTTATTCGGTTAAGATACTAATCAAACACTACCATCATAACCTCATTCTGTTATTCTGTAACGATATTAATCAAACACTACCATCATAACCTGATGTCCATTATTCTGTAACGATATTTATCAAACACTACCATCATTAACAGCACACTAAAATGTAAAGGAGGCAAATATTTTTCAAACTGTCTCTATCCTTAAAATCTATATATATTATTAATTATCTAATCAAAAACATCTTAGGTGTGAAAAAAAAGTGTGGCCAAAAAAGGATTCAGCATGCGACTTAAAGGAATGAAATCAACATTGATGGCAAACTGGTAGTTACACTTATACGATGCATAAGAATTTTACAGCAAATATTCATTCATTAGTTATCAATGCCACGTTTTTAATTCAACTTGGAGCATGATGGTGGGTAAAACGAAACACGTGGCCTAGCTAACTAATGAATGAATATTTGGTGTAAACTTCTTATCAATGCTATCAGTATAGCTACCAGTTTGGCCGCCAATTTTGATTTCATTCCTTTAAGTTTCACACTGAATTCTTTTTGGCTGCACTTTTTTCCACACTTAAAGTGTTTTTGATTAGGTGTCATGACTTTTTGTCAATACACACCAAATAAGAAAGTGACACTCGATAGTAACCAACGTTAGTCTTAGGATCGCAACCCTATTATTTGGAACAGGCTATGATGTGTGGGCATGGCCATTATGTGATGAAGTTGGCTTTCCACAAATGTGTCCAGACCTCAACTGGATTCACCAAGTCTGTTTGAGTTTTGACACTCATCATTCCATATACTGTTAACTACCACATTTGGTTCATGGGATTTCTAGTGCTATGATGTGTGGGCATGGCTATTATGTGATGAAGTTGGCTTTCCACAAATGTGTCCAGACCTCAACTGGATTCACCAAGTCTGTTTGAGTTTTGACACTCATCATTCCATATACTGTTAACTACCACATTTGGTTCATGGGATTTTTAGTGCATGCTGTGCGGACATGATGATAAAGTTGACTTTGTCCAGACTGTATAGTCTGGTATGATAACCACTGAAAATATGGATACACAAATATAAGCTGCCTTTTCTTGCTATGTTTTTCCGACATTTGAACATTTTTGAGAATTTACACTTTTGTTACAAACCTTTAAATACCAAAATTATCACCAAGTCATATAAAAACTATCACAAAGACAGAAAATGTTCAAATCTGAAGACAAAATATGTGCACTTTCTTTCTAGATGGAAGCAGTTATACGTTCTGTCACCAGAACACATAAAATGTGCACATCAAGATCAACGTAATGTGTCGTGTGGCCAAAACAACCTGCTGCAGAACATTCTGTGTGTTATTAATGAACAGGAGTGATAGTTTAGTGATTTTCCACCTACTGTATCTCGAACTGTGGTAATCCATACTATCACATATTTTCAGTGGAGATGCGCTATTAGACTCTTACTTCAAGGCAATCCAATTTTGATTGAGGTTCTTCCTTTTTTTTTCTTCGCACTGAAATATGGAAACTTTCTTTGATAGAAGAACTTACTTAACTTTCATGGATTTTTTTCAAATATATTACACTGATAGATCTTTTCAATCTATAATTAGGAGTCTCATTTGGTGTGCAAAGTTATTCAGCAAAAACCGCTGAAATTTAACGAAAATATTTGCTCACGCCTACGAAAAAAGTCAGGTGTGCTATAGGTCTAACATTTTTACTACAGCTTCACCTAAAAGTAAAAGTAGACTGTTTTTTGTAATTCGGATTAAAGACGGCTGATTTAGAGCAGCAAAACTATAAGGTGCGGATATATAAGTA